AGAACCACTGAATGTCGAGCACCACATTTCAGAGCATCTATCCCATATTAATGGAGAGTCCTGTTGATATCAGCTTCGCAGTGGCACTACAAAGGAAAAGTCCAGATCCACCTGTGGAGGCCATGAAAATGGTCTGTACAGATTTCATGGCAATCCATTCAATAGTTCTGTTGAGATATTTCAGCTCTCGACCCCAAGACGCAATGAACCGCACTGACGACACTGCGGTAGCATGCACCTCAAAAAGAAATCCTACCCATACTTCCTGAGGTAAAAACACTTGATATGTGCTACCAAAGAACTTCAGTTGCGAAACCCTGTAATGCTGTATACATCCAGGCCATGCGAGGTCACTTCAGTGTCCAAACATCACGCCTGTCAATACCTAGGATAGAGATCAGCAAGCCTTCTTTAATTATGGCTGTCAGATAAATAATTTTAACCTAATGCCTTTAAAGAGTTAGCAAAAAGGCCCATTAATAAGCAGGCACATACTTGTGCCAAGAACCCATTTGGCTGTTTGTCCAACTCTTTCAGTGTCACGACATCTTTTGTAGCTCTCACGGACAGTTATCCCTTTATTTCTAATCCCATCAGTCTCCACTGATAATTAGTAAATGTTTTTATGCAAACAAGCTTTTTATTTTCTCTGTTTTGAATATACATTTAGACTTTTGAATGGCCAAAGAAGAATTTCTTTGTGCAGAAAAATAGTTTTTTCCACTGTGCATATGACAATAAACACCACTGCTGATCTTAAGATGGTGAACATGGTTAGGGAAGCACTGCAGGCTACCTGCTTAAGATGCAATATGCTAAACATTGTGTGTTGTGGAGTGTGTGGTCAGCATTTAGCTCAAAGCATCTCTGTGTGTGTCATGTTGAATAAATAAGTGTTTTGTTTGAAAAAATTCAAACAATGTAAATCCTCTTTTATTATTCCTAATCTTTACATTCAATATATGAAGCCTTTGGCTCTTTTTTTTATTTTTTAAAAGTCATATTTTTGTAAAATATCCTAACTTTTGCTGAATAAAAACTGATTTTATTCCCCCTGTGTTGCGTTCATTTGGCTGCTGTTTGTCCATTGGCTCTTCCTCGGAAACGTCTTGCTCAGACGTTCGCTGATTGGCCACACACACCAACCTGTCCGGAAGCTAATTGGCTCACCTGGCTGCAATTATTCCACACCTAGTGACTTCTGGTCGAGAAGTTTGACTTCCAGGAACAGTGCAGCTGCAGGAGTCGGAGAGGAGAGAGGCGCACCGCCGTTATGGACTGAGACCTGAAAATACGCACAGCTGCACGGTTCCATTTCTCTGACATCTCCGGTGAGTTATCAGGAAATCTGCCTGAAGTTGAGTGCGCTGTTTGCTTCTGCTTTAGTCATAGATTCAGAGGAGTTGGAAGTTATGTGGAAAAAAGTGCTTTAGTTGTTTAAAAAACATCTGTGCTTGCCTGACAGTGTAACCAGCCTTGTTTAGACTGGTGTGTGTGTGTGTGTACCTCCCCAACTACCGCCGCCTCTGTGTCGGTGTTGTGTGATGTGGTGTGTTTTTTGTGTAGCAGCGCGATGCTGTTGAGATCGTGGTGGTATATCTGGTTGCTGTAGCTTTATTAACTCTCTGTTTTCCACGCGCTCTCATGTTAGCTGCATGAGGTTGCTTAGCGAGTGCGTGGAATCGCCCTTTCAGAACGCGCGTATCATCCGCGGCTGTTACTCAGCCCGCGTCTGGCGACGCCGCTTCATCGCAATCGCGTGGGGACCCCCAGACTGAAAAGTGGAAACCCCTGCAGTCGATTTTACGAGGACACTTGTCCCCAGCACATATCCCTGCCACCACCACTGATCCACCATTGTTCCTTGACTCACTTTTACATGTTCGTGGACTAATATTTCCACATCTTGGTGAACTACATATTGAGTCCCGCACCCCCACCAGTTGTTTAATGATTCGAATTATTTGCGTGGCTGGCGCGGTGCAGTCAGCGGTTGAGTCGGAGAAGACGTACACATCATTTGCCCTACTGTCCCCTTCCAACTAACTACTCCCATATTTTATTGGCGACACACCACCGGTGCTCCGACTTAAAACCCCTTAATTGACA